GGGCGAGACATGGACAGAGAAAGACCTAGACATTTACAACCAAATCAACAAGCCCCTCAAGGCAGCTAACATCCTGCCAAGGCTCAATAAACAAAATGAGATAAAAGCTCACAGGTGTAAAAGGATGTGTTCGTCTTTTTCAGATTTAAGTTTCAATATTCTCCTAATCAGCTCCAAAGGAAAGAGACAGGGAGAAAGGCACTCCTTGAAAACTAGCAATGTCTTTTCCAAACTGAAAAAAGGCAAGCAGCAGACTGGGGAACGTACCTGCAGTACGTTTCAGGGTTAATGCCTCTAACAGCCACTAAAAACAGAGACACCAATGGTCCCAAAGAACACGTGGCCAGAGACAGCAAGAGACTGCAAGAAGGGAAAGTGGTGTCCCTCGAGCATGGGAGAGCACACTCCATTCTGCTTCTAGGAAGGGCAATTCCAGTGACACCGTGCCAGATGGTGTTCAGTTACATATGGGACCGGAGGGGATCTCGAGACTTGAAAATCACAGCTGCCCCTGGGTTCAGGGCCCCCATGTCCAGAGATAGGTCCCAGTGATGTGCAGGACACGCTACAGGCACAGCGGGGACAATCAAATGTCCCCAGGGCAGAACAAAGTGGAGCGGCTGGTGGCAGGGAGGGGTGGCTGGGGTCTCCAGATCAGGTTTTCAGCGTGACATGGCTGTGTGGAGTGGGCTGCTCAGGGGACAGGGAAGGGGGCTGTCCACATGCGTGCATGTCACTCCAGAGACACAGCCAGAGACACGTGCAAACAGCTACCTGTAGCAAGAGCACACTGGGAGGAGTGCCTAGGACAGAACTCGGTCTCCTGAACTCAGCTTTCTGCATTTTGACTTCACAGAATAACAGCAGGGGTATTCACTTTAGGGTGCTCCCTACCTTTCCAGAATAACTAGCTTCTTTTTTTCTTTTCACCCTTTTCCAAATAAACCATCTTTCTTTACTTAATCTCCCCCAAAAAACAAACAAAAAACCAAACAAACAAAAAACACCCAACACCTTAATAGTTGGGAAAAAAACAACCAAAAACAGGAAACGAGTACACATAAGCACCAGAAGGCGCAGCTTGTGCCCAGCAGCTGGAGTCCCGTGCCAGCGTGTAGTCCCTCCTGGGCCCCACCCTACTGCACTGGGCGCTCGCTTGGATGCAGGTCGCTCCCTGACGGGATGGCTTCCTGCTGCTTGTCTTGAGCGTCCAAGAACAGCGCTGTCCTTGCAGACTCAGGGTGGATGCAAGGCCTGGCACGGCCCACAAGGTTTGCACAGCACAAAGCACAGGTGCAGACACTGGAAGAGAGTCAGGCATTCTTGGGGCTTAAAGACACTACCTTCTCCTGAAGGAGAGAGCCTGGGTATGCAAGGGCCTTGAGGGGACACAGGGGCATCACAGAGATATGCCTACAAACTCCATCTGTGCAGATCACCGGCACTGTCCACTCTCCATTGCCCGGGCGGGATACCCTGCCCCACCTCTGCTCCTCACAAGCACTGTAGGAAGGAATCCTGCAGAGGGACATGGGAGGGGACCTGCCAAGGCGAGAGCTGGACATGGAGGCTGCTGTGCTGACCCCTGGAGCTGACGTTGGCATGCCACCAGCTCTGGGAACAAAGACCACAGAATGATCCTCCGGATGGCGAGCAAGGGAATGTGACAAGGCTGGGAGGGCCTTGGAACTGTGCATGTTAGGACAGGCTTAGACAGCAGCTCTGCCATGAGGTCAGCCACCCTGTAGCCATGGGGACCACAGACCTGGGCTGGCAGGAGCACCTTGAGTCAGGTCTGCGATAAGTTCTAAATGGCTGGCCCTCACAGATGAGTCCATGGGGACAGGTCCTTGGCCACAGTCCCTAGAGCCACACACTCAGAACATGATGGGAGGGGGACCTGTCACCCTGCTTCAGGACATCAGCTCATGGACAGCTGGGTTCCTAGGAAAAGGCCTCACAGGTGCAGGGACCCCATATGGGGCCTCCAAGCTTTCTGCACTATGGTGCTGAAGCAGAGGTGAGTGGTCCATCCTGCATCCCCAAGAAAAGCTGGGGGCCTTGCCATCCACCTCCTAAGGCACCTGCTGGTCATCTCCTGCCTGACTGGGTGGGTGCTCAGCCTTCGGGTGCTGACCCAGTGGATGGCCAGCCTGCACAGGAAAAAGAGAGGTCTGGCAGCAGGAGAGGCCCAGGGGGCTCAGGACCAATAGAGCAAACCCACCCTGCGTGTGGAGTAGACGAGCGATGAGAGCCCAGACTTGGGAGCAGAAACCTGGAAGCTCTGGGCCCAGAGTAGGGCCACCTGGAGGATGACAAGTGTTTAATGCACCCTTCTGGCCCCACAAAGCCCAGAAAGACTACAGTGACCCAGAGTGGCCCTGTGCCCCCCATCTGGCAGCTGGCCTGACTGGTGTGGAGTGGGGCTCCCTGTCTCAGGGTTGCTCTGAAAGCCTAAATATGAGGGATGAGAGTCAACATCTCCTCCTTCCTTTATAATGGGAGGAGCACCTCCTTCACTGTAACATCCTCTGCTCTCGTCCCAATAGTAAAACTCTTTCACATGCATTAAACAGACTTGCCTCACATTCCCTCAGCTTCACTCTCACTCCTATATCCCATAAGCCCTGGAGTGCTCTCAGCTGGTCTCTCCAACATTGCCATTCCCAGAGTCCTGACCTCCTATTTTCTTTTCTTCTCTTTGGGTACTGGCAATCAAACTCAGGACCCTGAGCTTGCCAGGCAGGCGCCTATGTTGCTATCTCCCCAGCCTCTGTATTCCTCACTTCTAACCCTGCTTGTTCCAATGCCACATGAGCATTTTACTGCCTTGCTCTTTGTTTGCCTTGTAGTGTAGTCTGTTTTCAAATCACTTAAAGCCCAGCACACCTTGCTCAGGGAAGTCTCTGTGTGGGACCCTGCAGGCCTCGCTTCCTCTGAGCTGCAGGTGGCTGGCTGCTGGTTCTCATGCCTTCAGTCTCCTGCAGGTACAGCTGGTGGTTTCTGTCAAGTCCTGGAATCCTGAGACACCACCTCAACAACACATTCCACTGGCAGGAGCACAGCTGTTTCCTGGACCAAAGCCCCTGCTGCGGCTCAGGCAGGCCCCGCTTCTGCTCAGCTCTGAGCCAGGAGTGGATTCTTTCTAGCTGCACCTGTGATGAGGGCACTGCCCCTCTGCCATCCTCGCTTGACTGGGTCATGGTCTTGCACCTAGGCCCTGTGCCAGCCATTCTAGCTCCTGGCTTGCCACAGCTAGTGCCCTGCAACCCAGGTCTTCACATCTGTGTCCACCCACAGAGGCTAACACTCTCTCAGCCTGCTGACACCAAACCCCAAGCCTTGGGACTTCCTCCACTTTCTCACGTGCTCAGCTCTGCACATGAGGGAAGAACATTCATGTCTTCTCCCCTACACTTTTGGTGCTTGGTCCTTGAGGAGCTTCTTAAGAGCATCTGTCACTTGCTTCTCCATATCATGCCCAACACTAACACCAACTCAACCCTATCAGCTGTTCTGGGCAAAACATGCTCATTGTGCTGCAAGTTAAAGGCTGGGAGATCACAAGCTTAACACGAACACCACACTCAGGATGAGACCCCACCCAGCACAACCACGGCACCTGCTGCCCAGGATGGCCCAGCCTACACCCCATTGCCTGCACCAAGGGGAGATGAGTGCTGGGTGGATGAAGCCATGCCAGCTGCCACCACTGCACACACCAACTTCTGGTTACAAGGCCAGTGCAGCCCCATACTGTGACCAACAGGCTGTCAGCCCTGCATGCCCTGCAGGTGTGGCAGCACATGGTGGGCTGCTGCTAAGTGCAGTGAGCAGGCTCTGGGTATACCCATGTGCTACTGGCTCCACAGGCTCCCTGAGCATGGATAACCAAGCAGGGGAGCCATCCAGGTGGCCTGGAGAAGTTATAAGTGTAAGAAAAGGTAACAAGGAGATGTTCATGAGGAGGAGCTACACGACCCAGGCAGAACTGGTGCAGCGTCCTCTCCCAGGTCTCCTGAGAGCAGGGGCCCTGCTGCTTGCTCAGGCCTCAGGCCTCAGGCTTCAGGGTTCCTGCCCACACTCAGTCTTCATTCCCAGAGCCCTGGGACGAGCCATGAATGAGTGAGCCTGCAAGCCCAACTTAGCGCACGACTCCCAAGTGCTGCGAGCTGTGCTAAAAAACACCCAGGTACAAGAATAGTAAACTTTCCCTTAGGGGACTTTATTTCTCTATTTTCATATGGGCCACATATTAAATTAGAAGGCTTTAAAGTAGAAATGTATTTTACAATCGAAGAAAACTCTGGACATGGACCCCCTCTAAACACAACCACCAGGAACACAAAAGTTCTGAGAATCACTCCCACCAACACCCACCTCACACGCATCAGCAAATGCCAAAGAGTCACAAGAGAAAGAGGCAGTCTGGAGAGGGGATGAACGAAACCCCGTGAGCACTTCTCTCATCACTCACAGGGTGAGACAGACCTGGAGGTCACATCAGACCACAATGCCCTGGGGTCTCCAAGTCCAACCAGCATCTGCCTAGAAGAAAGCAGCCCACACCCTGCCCTGACACCTGCCCCAGGAAGGCTGATCCCACTACCCACCCCTGGGGCTCTGCTAGCTGACTCTGCAGGGAGGAGGACAGCAGCAGCGGTGAAACCCATCTATACCTACCTCATCCAATGCGGCCTGTGTCCATGAGCTGGGGACAAACCACTCCTTCCAAGGGTTACCACCTTTTATCCAAACTGGACAAAAGTCATGACAGTGGGCTGAGTGAATCATACTGACACTCAGGTGAACCTTAGGCTCTTGAGCAGGCACTGAAACCCTGCATCCTCCCACCACACTACACAGGCTGCAACATGACAGGCTTCAAATAGGAAGCAGCACAAAATGATGAAGGATCTTATTTGACTAAGGCCTTATAAAATGTGATCTGTCTTTGATCTATTAAAAAAATAAAATGTTCAGGCAAAAGGAAACAAACCATAGTACGTTCAGGCTCATCTGGAAACGATGGCTCCCTGATGCAAGTGCTGCCTCCCTGGGCCACCACGGCAGCTGCTCCAGGGTGGCAGGCGTCTCCAGTGCGTGCTCCCCAGAGCCATGCACAAGAAGGGGGCAGTGCTGGCACCTCAGCAACATTAAGGCAGAGGCCAGGCACTGGCAGCCTCCTCTGGACCTGGGAGCAAGTGCAGGAGGCTCGTGCTGTCCTGGGCTGTCTGACAGCCCTAACAGAGCCCCGGGGAACGCCCCATTCTGCAACATACCTGTCCCCAGGGATGAGAGCCTGCTACGTGCACAAGATCATTCTGCAGCTTGGAATGAAAACTCCCAGGGACTGGCTTGTTAAAGTGAGAGGTCAAATCTACTTAACAAACATTGGTGTCTTTCTTCTCTATTACGAGATTAAAAGCCTTAACAATTCACAACTAAAGAAAAGCACCCCATGCCACCATCCCATCTGTACCACCACCCCATTCTTCAGTTTACAAAAATAAATATTTATGAACAATATATTTGACAAAAAGCACCCCCAATTGGTGGTAGAAAGTAATGTTTTGTAGCTGACATTAAAATTTTCCCTATCTTTTTAGAGGGGAAACAGACTGAAATTTAAGCACTAACTTCCTCAATCTGAATCATTCAAATAAGTCCAAAACGTCAGGGCTGTCACGCCCATGTCAGTGGACTCTTAAGCCCAGTGACTGGGTACAAACACAAGAATGAGAAGCACCTGCAACTCAACTTGGAATAGCACACCAAGACGTGCAGGGCACAGGCTTCCCAACGGTGTACATCCCACTTAGAGATGCGTTGCTTCTGAGATGCCCGCGAGGCTCAGTCTTACAACACGGTATTGCCCATCTACCCCTAAATCTGTTTGCAGCCCAAGAGGTAACAGCAGTGACCAGGCAGCCAGGTGCAGGCAGCATAGCCTCAGCAGTTTCCAATGTGAACATTCACTGAGTTTCTCCTGTCCCCCACCTGGACAGCACTGGTGCACAGCATGGACAGCACCCCAACACTGTCTGTAAACACAGTGCCAGCCCAGGGCCTGTTGGGGAGAGAAGCTGGGACAAGGCCTGCGGAGCCAGCACAGTCTGCAGGAGACAGAGCAGCCTGCAGGACCCGGTCAAGGCAGAGGCTGGCCAGCTACGTGGCCAGAGGAGCCAGGCAGGGGGCCCATTCTCTAAACAATATCAGGGCGGGACACAGACACTCACTTGAGATCTCTAAATGCAACCCATAAATCAGTGCACATGGGTCTGTGTGCCCTGAGTCACTAGGTCCACCTGAAATAGGCCAAGTGACCCTGTGTCCCTTGACACCTCAGAAAGACTCTCAACAACTTTGAACGCCCTGGAGGAGGGGACTGTTTTCTAAAAGGATGCTTCCTAGAACAGTATGAGAAAAGAGATGCACATCCCCAGCAACAGGTGTGTGGGTCTGTGCAGTGTGTGAAACGGCCATGCCACCATAGCCTAACCCAAGCTGAGGTGGGAGCTGTCCACTCCACTGCTAGTCAAGACGGCTGCTGGGAACTGAGACCCACATGCACCCCGAGAACAGGTGGGGAGGGCCACACAGGTGTCTGAGGAAGAGGGTACAGGTGGTGGTTCACAGGAATCTTATTGGGATGATGACGCCGGGAACCCAGGGTGGCGAGTCCAAGGGCAACAGGCAGGTCTAGGACTCCTCGCCCATCTGTAACAGGGAATTGATGGCAGCATCCTTATTTCCTCTCTGGGCTTCCAGCACAGAGCGGATCACCTCCTTGTCCATGTTGGGGAACATGTCCTGGATGGCCTTCAGGTCCTCTTCTGTACAGCGAGGCTGTGCAGTCACAGCTGGTGGGGGCATCGCCACAGGCACCATGCCAGGGCTGCAGACCGCAGGCATTCCTTAAAACAAAAGAGGAAGTCTGATGAAAACACCAGTGACACAAAGCACAGGCTGGTTCCAGCTGCAGGAAGGCACAAGACAGGCACCCTGCAGGGACATGAAGCTGGCAGCCTCCAACACCCACCAAGGATAGCAGGTGAGGCTGGGCTTCGCCACGTGTGATGTTCTCTCCAAATTCCTTTCTGTTTCAAATGCAAGTCAGATCTTTCAAAACTCATTTAAGCTATTTCACAATCACAGAAGGAGACAACAGAAGAGTGAAGGTGGAGTTCATAAAGGGGCCTCACAGGCTGAGCCTACTGAACCCACACACCACTCAGGGCAAAAGACACAGGCAGGCCAAGACAGGAAGAGGGGTGATGCCGAGCAACCATGTCATAGACTTACCATGCACATTCCTCTTTGAAAGGCTACAATGGCTTACAATGCTGTTACTTCTTTAAGCTTTAAAAGCATGAACAAGCTTCCCCACTAGGCTCACTGGAGTATGAGGCATGGTTTTTCCTTTCCTGTTACAGTCAGAAGACGGCACATGAAGCTGAATATGTCTCGAATACCAGCTGAACCAAAGCATCAAGAGCCTAACAGAAGCCAGACGTGGTGGCACACACCTGTAACCCTAGCATCTGGGAGGCTGAGGCAGGAGGATCAATGTAAGTTTGAGGCCAGCCTGAACTATATAGCAAAACCCTGTCTCAAAAAAAAAAAAAAAAAAAAAGAGCCTTAACAGGTGTCAGTGGAAACTATTGCTCCTGCAGGAAGGGGCACTAAGTCAGAATTTCCAGCCCTCTAGGCCCAGCCTCTGCCAAACACTCCTATGCGCAATCCAAGACAGGGTGTCACCACACCTCACAGGTGAAGGTTGCAGCCTGGCAGCCCAGCCTTTCTGTAATAAGAATGAAAAGCATATCACGTCAGGTGGGAACATGCCGTCTTCACAGAGTACAATGGCTCAGCCTGTCCAGAGAGACCTAGGCAACCTCACACATAGACTTTTTCCACACAAAAGTGTCAGGAAACGCTTGCCAATGTAGCCAGCCCCTTTCCCCAGTATTCATTAGCCTAGGCAGGTGTTATGGCTTCAATCTAGATGGCCCCCAAAGCCTCAAGCACTTACAGGTGGGGTTTCCAAAGCTGGCTGGATCTAGGGTGTGGTGCTGGGATTAAGGGTGACTCACCCTGGGTCCCAAAGGGCAAGTAATCTGGATGGGCCTGGCTTGTTGTCTGCCATATCCTGCTCATCTCTGCTCTGTGATGCCATTCCTGCTGTTCCCCCTGCCTTGGACCAGCTGACTATGGGCTGAAACCTCTACAAACTGAGCTGAAATAAACTTTCTGTTTTAACTCTGGGTGTGGGGAATTTCGTCTCAGTAGGAAAACTGACCAAGACAGCTGGTGAGGAAAGGAGGGAGGCTGAGGTAGCGTCTGTGGCCACCTGTTCTCACAGGCCCTAGGGATAGGACCGCTGCTCAGATGGGAGGCACACTCCTGACCCAGGCCTCACACTCACCATGACTGAATGTGGAATCACTCACCAACCCTGGGTGACTGAGGGAGCAGATGGGTTGGTGGCCAGCTGGGGACATGGCAGACAAGATGGACGAGAGCCGCGCAGCCTCGGTGGGATTCATGTGAGGTCTCTGGGGCTTGAGCCAAAGCAGGGAGGAGACCGTAGGAGGCAGAGAGCCAGAACCCATGCTCCCCACGATGTCACCCTGCCACCCCTGCCCACTGCAGACAGTACGCTCACACTGTCTACACACAAACAGAACGCTGCCCAGAAGAACAAAGTGGGAAGAGCCCAGTTTAACCCCATAGCACAGGCCCCATCGGCATGAGCCAGGGGACAGTGATGGACATCCCATGGGATTCCTGCAACCTGATTACTGCCCTGCCACACACAGTGCTGGGCCCCGACAGCCAAGGGCCTCCGACCAGCATCACTCTGTGAGGTGACAGCCATGACTCTGGGAAAGCAAGAGGGAAAGGCTCCCAGGCTCCAAGCCATAGACATATGGGCTTCTGGTTGGAAGACAGACTGCAGCAGCGGCAGCAGCTAGAACCCCGAGTCCACACACCCGAGGGCAGTGATGGTGAACCTTCTAGATCTTTCAATGACACAAACAACCCACAGTAACACCCATGCCATTGGTTCACCACCATGGCCCTAGAGCTGTTGGGGCAGGGTTTCCCAATGCACCACCAAGGCAGCCGATGCCTCCAAGGTGCAAGCCACTGCCTGGCCCAGGGCAGGGCAGGTATGGATGGACAGGCAACAGACCAGCTAGAGTCAACCTCTCTGTGCTGCTCACTTCCTGTGATCTCTGGCCCAGGCAGGTCACCTCACACCGCACTCCAGAATCATGGGCCTGAGGCCTCCACTGCAGAGCAGACCAAAGCACAAAAAGTGTGAGTGGGCATATAACATAAGCTTTGGACTCTTAGTGCTCTGAAAGGATCGTGACGCCATGGCAAACATTCAGGACTTGGAATACTCAGGAAAAACCAACCCAACTTTCAGCAAAGTCTCTAAATACTATTGAGATTACTAAATAACAGGTCAGAGGCTTCTAGAACTGAGTCTCAACTAACTACCAGATGCCAGATACTAGCATGAGTCAGTAAGTCCAGGGTGGAGGCAGGAAAAGCATGAGGAAACAGGAGCTTCCTGGGGTGCCAGTCAGGAAATACTGTGCTCAGTAGACATGGGACAGGCTGAAGGGACAGTGAGCTCTGCTGAAGGACTCTCTGGGAGACATGATAAATAATATAGTAAGAGATTATAGCTCAGGGAACTGAACAAACTGGAAGCCCACATAGCAGTACCTGTAGTTGGCAGCTCAGTTTATGAGAAACAGGAAAAGCTTCATGCGGACTCCAAGAAAATGCTCTGGGGTGAGCCACCACTGTACAGTTGTGTCTCACCGCACATGAATACAAGCAGTCAACAACAGGAGAGCAGCTTTCACCACCAGGACAGCACACAAGGGGCAGCAGCCTGTACAGATGGACATGGAGCCAGGCCTGGCCCGCGCCCTCCTCAGGGCAAGGTGAGGACTATGGCAACACAAGCACGCTGGTGTGTTCACCTGCACGGTGTAGAGGAATGCTCAGGGCCACAGCCCCCAAAGTTCTGGCAGAAAAATCTTTTGTTTTCTATTTTAACTTTTCCATATGTAGGAGACTTTTAAACTTTTAAAATGTATACCAAAAGAAAAGATCAAAGTCTCTATTCATAAAGAAACCTAGCCTTTTTCAAATAAATATTTTAGGACAAATTTTAAAGAGAATGAAGAACAAGATCCAGAGAAAGATAAACAGGCTAGTAACTTTTCATTTCTTCTTTAGAAGTTGATTTTCCAATAAGCAAATATAACTGATGGGGACAAAGCTGTGTCCCTCACACAGATATGTCAAGCCCTGACCCTGTGTGACTGCACGGTCTCTGCAGATACACAGAGCTGGGATGAGGCTGCACTGGAGTGGGGTGGCCCTCGTGCAATTTCAGGAAGACAGGGACTCCGAGGGGAGGTGGCTGTGTGAAGACTGAGCTGCAGGCTGGCCTGAGGTAGCCACAAGCTGAGGGTCACCTGGAGCCCCTGTAGGAGCTGGAGGTGCAAGAGGCCCCAGGAGCCCCAGAGGGTACAGCTCAGCCACTCCTGCTTAAGGTGTCTGGCCACAAGAACTAGGAGAGCAGACTCCATTGTTCTAAACTCTCACTCAGCCCCATGCGGGGCCCCTTCTTCCTCCCTTGTTCCTCCTGAACCCAACGATCCTCAGTAGCTTCCCCCAGGCCTCTGCAATCCCCAAATCCCTGCTCTAATTCTGCTGTCCTTGCTCAACGGCCTCTCCTGGAGCACTGAACACCGAACTGTTTTAGGGTTTCGGGTCACCCTATTAACTGGGTAGTTTCTACCATGCTCAGCACTGCAAGGTCCCCTGTGGATACTGGGCTCTCCTCTCCTCTGAAAGTGCTGCCCTTCAATCCTGCAATCAGCTATGCTTCAGCATAAGGCCCAAATGCACACAGCTGGAGTGCCCAACAGCTGGCCCCTCTTGAGCCGGATTCAGCCAATTACAGGCAGGTCTGAGACTAGTCCTGACTCCTGAGGCTCTCTGTACCCCAACAGGATGCTGGTGTGGGTAGGGGTATTGACAAACCTCTCTGCCTGGCTGGCAGGACCCCAAATGCCTTATACTGCTCAGCTCCCAGCACTAGCAACCAGGGGACAGAGGGCCAGGAGCATCCCCCATTGCCCTCATGCCCTGGTCACTCCCGCTGCCCTGGACTCTAGCTTGATCTCCTTGGGGCAGTGGGACTGCCAGCCTCTGCGGGGACCTCAGCTTCCCAGACTTTGGCAGGGAACAGTTAGCTGTCGGCTGGCCCTGGCATCTCTACTCTTGAGGATGCAGTCTCCCCTGCCTGCTGGGTAACACCTGGAAACAATACCTGGCCAGTGATATGCCTGCAGGATGCTACCCCAACTATAGCTGAGGTAACCAAGAAGTTAACAAGAAATCCGAGGATGCAAAGGCATAAGAAGCCGTGTTCTAACGTGATGGCTTGTGTTGCCACAAATGGCTGCTTCATGCAGGGACACAATCCTGACAGAAAGTATTTATTCAGAGCTACTATGTGCTCCACCAACAAGACTGTGGGCTTCAAACACATAGACTTGCACACACAGTGTTCAAAGATTTTGTTTCCACATACCCACAAAATTCACTCCCCTTAAACATGCCAACAACTAGAAGATTCTGGTTTCAACATATGCTAGGAAGTTCGCCTGTGACACTGGATTCTGCGTTTAAAAGGACTTTTTTTCCAGGACCACCCTAGCCTGACCCCCCTCTTTGCCCCAGGCCTCCTGCCAAAGGAGAAACAGTGACGCACCTGCAATGGGCACGTAGCCAACACCCTGCTGGTACACCGTTGGCATCAGGACCACAGGCTGGGGCGGCATCACCATGGCAGCAGGCAGTGACTGAAACACACCAAGATGACTGTGGTGTCAGAAGCTTATCCCCACCCGCACTATAAACGTCCCAAGAGCACAGAGCCCAGGACTCAGCCCTGCCCCAATAGCCCAGCACCACCTCCCTGGCTGGTAGAGCGGAAGACAGTGACTGGGTGCTGTGGTGGGAAGAGTGAGGCTCTAAGAAGCAGGCTGGCGGGGATGCTGCAGAATCTGCTGCATGAGAAAACACTAGCACAAGGAGCATCTCACAACATCCCAGGGGCTGGAGGATGGGCCACGTGCCGGACATATGATGAACAAATAAATGCACATCTATGCCAATGTACAGGACTTCAGTATAGGGAGGCAAGGAGGCTGCAAGCAGCTGTGGTGACATGGGCTTCCACAGGGACACCCACACAGGGCCTACCATAACCCTCATGGCTGGAAGTGCCTCCCAAGAAGTTAGATTAACAGCAAAGAAAAGGTGACACAAAGGAACCAACAGACTGGGTACAGTAGAGCATATCTGTAATTAAAGCTACCTGGGAGTTGGGGGGGGGGTCACAAGTCCAAGGCTATCCTGGACACTTTAGTGAGATCCTAAATAACACTTTAAAAGGGCTGGGGATGCACCTTTGTGGCAGAATGCCTGCCCAACACATAAGAGAGCGCCCCAATCTGCCTGTCTGTGACCTCAGGAGCTGGCATGCTTTGAGGATGGAGACCAGTGGGTGACTGCCAAGCACACCTGGGCCTCTGCTCCATGTCCCCCAGGGTAGGGCCCTCGCATTGCCCTGTGTACGCTCTCCAAGATGCTATATCACTTCATGGCCTGCTACTGTCTCCCAGGGAGAGGCACATGGGCCCCAGGGCCCAAGCCATGCAGCAGACCTAGGCTGACCACCCAAGGGTCACTCCAGCCCGGTACTCACTGTGTAGGACATGACCAGGTTGATCATGCCCTCCTTGTCATCGCCCTGCCGCCCACTCAGGCTGTACCACTCGTCCTCCACTTGGCCCTGCTTCAGGGACTCAGGGATTGTGATGTGCGTCCAGGCAATGCGGTCATCCATGGAGAAGGCTCGCTGAGGAGCAAGAAAGAGGAGAGCACGTCACGGCACAGCGGCAGGACTTGCCCTGCAAGAGCCCTTGCCAGGCCGCTAGGCCCCCTCCAGGGTCCCCACTCAGCTGAGAACCTGCCCTTGCTGCCATATCATCATGTAGTGCAGGCCAGTCTAGGACAGGACAGCACCTCCAGGCCTGGTGTTCCACGTCTACCCAAGCATGGCACACAGGCGCAAGAAGGACGGAGTGCACACTGGGCCACGGCCCGCAGCCCTGCACCTTCACAAGCTCCACCCCTCCCAACAGGGGCAGAGAGACTGGAAGGGCAGAGGGCAGGCTGAGAGGCCCCTCCCCTTCTCATTCTTAGCTCTGTTGTGTCTGGCCCTGTCTTGGGAGGTCCCTAGTGCCTGGAGCTGTTTTGAGGGTGCTTCCTAAGCCTCTAAGCATTCAATCCTGCTACATGCAGGCACCTGCCAGGGCTCCCTGCTGCAGGCCTGCAATGTGTGCTAGCAAAAACAGTATTCCCAAGACACACCTGAAATTCAGTGTGTGTCTGTGAACAAACACTATCTACTGTGTCCACAGTGCCCAGCATGGTCTCACTGATGTATCTGAGGGAGAGCTACACCCTGATCCCCAGCCACTGAAGTGCTGGCCATCTGGCAGGCCTCGGATGACAGAGCACATCACACTTTGCCCCACCTGAGCCACAAGCAGCCTTGAGACACAGGCAGCTCTCACCTCATCAAAGATCTCCAAATAGAATGAGTCCACACCGGGGGGTACCGTGCATTGGATGACCTTGTTCCAGCGAGGGTTCTTGGCACCATTGTGGGCCGTAGGCGTTTCATACACAGCATAGCCCAGGCGCAGGCGGCAGTAAGGGTCCATGCGCGTCATACCGTAATTTTTTGCCAGCTTTGCCTGAAATAAAGCCAAGTTCAAAAAGATGCAGAGTCCACAACCAGAGAAAAAGGTGGGTGCTTCCCTAAGTTGCTGGCCTCCTGAAATTGTCCACTGTCACCTTTCCTGGGCCAAGAACTTTTCAGCTACCCAAATTCACCTGCACATGCCACTAACTAACTTCCCAGGACACCAGAAGAGTCTCTGCAACTCTGGCAGAAACACCTGAGGCCATAAATCACAGCACACAGCTGAGAGGAGGGCAGAAGGGAGGATGTCCCAGGGCTGGGCCACTGCAGAGCCCTAAGGGCCTAGAGGCATCTGCCCCAGGTTTCAGCCCCCCACATTTCCTACTCTGCCCTTCAGCTCACAGAGACTGGACACCATCTTCCCAGGCCCCAGCTCTCCACATCACATTCCTTAAGACCTGGACTCTAAGCCAGATGGCCTGCTTTTGAACTATGTCACATAGAGTAAAACCAGGAACCCTTAGGAGTGAGCGAAGATGCAACAGAGGAAACTACTGTGTGGTGGCACACACCTATAATCCCAGCACCCTGCAGGCTGAGACAGGAGGATCATCGTGAGTTCAAGGCCAGCCTGGACTACAAACTGAGACCCTGTCTCCAAGGAAAAAAAATAAAAAAAAAAGAAAGAAAAGAAAAACTTTCCTTTCAGCACACAACATAAAGTAGATTTGAAATGAGATGCCTACTGTCACTGGCTACCAGAGAGATGCAAATCATAACTCCAAGCCAGACTCCTACAAACCTATCAGAATGGTCACAACAAAATTCAACACCTAACCAAATCAGGTGGAGCTAACTGGCAATGTGAAGCAGTATGTGGGCAGCAGTACAGCTCTTGGGCCACACCCTACTCTGATGTGGGTTTCTCCCTCAGCTTCACAACAGCATGATCTCCACTCCCCTTGCTGAAGTGTCCTTTCCTGAATGTCTAATGCTGGACTGTGACTCACCCCTGGTGGGCTCCTCCTTCCAAGGGCCACACAGAGCCTTGATCCTCCCTTCTTTGCACCATGTGCACCATCTGCCAAGCCTGTTGGGTCTCTGTCTATGCACAGAGCCACTTTCTAGTGGGGTGGGAGGGTGGGAGGAGGGTGCCGTCAATTCAGGAGCGGGAAATATCATAAGAGCGTGAGGAGTATCATGCAGGCAGCCTCCTGGAAGGCAAGGGAAGCAGGGAAGACAGTGGACAAAGTGACCAGGAGGCCACATGAGGTCCAGGACATCTCTCTCCCCAGCACATCTATGTGAGCTTGAATACAGACAGACAGGCTGCCTGCAGTGGACTCCATGGCTCCGTAAGAACAAGGTGGCTGGAGGGAGCAGGCACTTCAGGGGTACCTCAAGGAGGCCTGCTTAGTTCCAACACTTGTACTAGGCCCCACCAGGTGACAGCACACAGGAGATACCTGGTCATACGTGGGGCAGGAGGTACAGCACATTCTATTGGACATTTGTAGCCAAGTACTGAAACAGTCATGAGGAAAGGTAGTTGGTTACAAACTCCTCACAGAGACCAGTGCAGCTTAGCAGGGTGCAGGCTGCATGTTCATCAGAGAACCACAGCAACACCTCTGTCAACTGCATCTGGACCATCCTACAAAGTCATAAAACTCCTCACACTTGTCCTGTGTGGTTTTGTAGGACATTCTGGGTGGTCACTGTCAGCCTGAATGTGATGTGTTTTGACTTTCCTTGGCACACCTGGTCAGGACAGAACTGTGAAGCTGAGCAGACATCACTGTTGGGCACATGCTGCTGTGGCCCTGGGCAGCATCAGTACCCCAGCTGCAGTGAGATGCCCCTGGGGAGAATACTGCCTAGTACAGAGCAGATGTCCACCAATGTTGATTATAATTTTTTAATTATTTTAAGCAGAATCCTTGGAAGTTAAAATTTTAATATATGTTAGTATTCAATTTCAGATAAATGATTTTAGAAACACGAGAATCAGAGAAGTTCCATTTGTCCACATGGGAAATACTCTAAAAGTCCAAAATCCACACTCCCCACTGAGCCCAGCTTGTCCTTCTCTGGCCCTACCAGTGCCAGCCCCACGACAGGAAAGGGAGTCCAGTGCCCACCTGCACCACAGTGATGCTGAGGCGGCCCACAGTGCCCACCGCACCCCCGTATTGCAACTGCTGTGCTGCCTGGGCATCCAGCTGGACCTGCTGCTGCTGCTGCGTGGGCGTGATGCGGAGGAAATCCTGTGGCAGCTCACCGATGTACACCTGCAAGCAGAGAGGGCAGCAGTGTCAGTGGCAGGGCAATGCAGAGACCAGCCAGTCCCTGTCCCCATTCCTTAGCAAGCCCAGACTGTGCCCTGCCTCTTCAGTTTCCCCAAGTGAGGACCAATAAATAAGTTTCTGCCAGACTCTCCCTAGGGCTTCCTTGCCTGAGGATAAGCCAGAGCCCTGGGAGGGGTGGGAACATGTTTCAGTCCCTAAAACTTGAGGCTCCTATCCTTAAGTAAGGCTTGCTGGGTGGTCTCCAGACTTACACACTCCATGTTTGTGTCCATGACCGTTTTTCCCTTGGACCACAACTAAATGCCACACTTGTGACCTTCAGTATCACTGGGCTAAACACAAGAATGAGATGAATGTGGATCCCTGGAACCAAAGTTATTTGAAAAACGCTTTGTCCTAAAACAACTATTTCCACCTAAAATAGTTCAAATTTGATTCTGGAAGAAAATAAGCATATTTATTCAGAAAACCTCACAACTCTGCTCTCTGCCTCTTACTTAACCCTGCTGACCTGCTTGCCAACAATAAGGGTCCTCAGGAATATTCTCCAGGGCAGAAGTTTTGGGAGAAACTAGAAGGCCTCTGAAAAAGGAAAGTCATCCAGAAGAACAGGAGGAATCCAAAGCAAGGGTTTGCAGTGATACCTAGAGTCCCTGGCCAGGGCTCACCCTTGGAGATGAGCAGAGCCCCACGGGGCACAGGGACCTCACAGAGCAAGACCAAGGGATGTGCCCCTAAGGAAGGCATCCAGTAGCTCTACAGCAAGACACTGGCGGCAGCAACAGGCAATCTACCTGGAAGCAGAGGACCCAGGGGCAGTGCAGGTTGCCCCAGGGATGAGTAGATGGCTGTCTGCAGCTTCACCAAGGCAGGCCAGCCAATGGTGTAAAAATGGTCCCTCCTTGTACAGTTAGTACAGTGTCTGGAGAGTGATACCCAAGAATGCCTACAGTGGCAGGGAATGATAATCAAGTCTACCAGGCCCAAATCTCCCTGTGGGCATGGGGCCTAGCTATCTGCTGGTGGTCTGAGCCACCTGCCTGCAGCCGCTGCTGCCCACAGTGGTCCTGCAGCCAGCAAGCATGTGTGGGAGGCCAGTGCTATGGATGTGAACCAGGCAAGGGACATTGCTGAAAGATGCCACAGGGGTCTCTCCAGAGGGAAAAGCACTTAGCCCCAAAGGTTCTGGGTGTACCCTCCAAAGGCCCCTGGAAGGTCTAGCTCCCATCTCCTCATCCTGGTGCTTCCAGAGCAGAGACTAATACCAGAAAGACCACCATGCTTGCCTCCCCCATGCCTGTTTACATGGAATCTGTCTGTGTGTCCCCTCCCCCTGGAGGAACTACTCCCTTAGGAGGACAGTGGCATGCCCCTCTGTGCCTCTGGAGGGTGAGCACAGGCAGGGATCAGGAGAGATCCCAGCGCCCACTTATGCAGCACTACCTGGTGGCCAGGTAGCCCCTTGGTAGGTCCCTACCTACCATGGTGGCCAGGACTGCCCCGTCCCCTTGGTGCCTTGAGTCTCTTCTGGGGCCACGTTTCCCGAGATACAGCTCATACATTGCCAGCCAGTCTGGGAAGAGCCCTGACATGACAAGTGCCAGGTCCTGCTGGTACACAAGAAATGCTGAGCCCTCTGAAAGAGACCCGCAGCCCAACAGTCAAGGTCAAACTGTCCCCAACTGCCAGGGAGATGGCTCAGTAGAATAAGGGCTTCCCTGGCAAGCACAAGGGTCTGAGTTCAATCCCCAGTTCCACAAAAAAAAAAAAAAAAAAGGATGCAAGGAAACTGTCCCGAACTACATGCAAGGCCTGTGGTCTTCAGCCTCCAGGACCTGCCACCAACTTTGTCTGTGTACTTGCAATGGATTATTCTACAGAAAGGAACAAAATAACCAAATGCTCAGGATGAGCATGCACAGGGGAAACTCCCATACCTGAGACACAATTATCTCCCCACACTACACCTTTAGGGATGCAGGGGGAAGGCCTGCACCTTAGGGACACCTCAGGATGGGCAGCCAGGCCAGCAGGTGCCCTGGTTACCAGTCAGGGTCAGGGTGGTCGCAGGCCACAGCAGACATGGGGTCTGGAAAAGCCACTTACAGGCTCTTGTCCTTCTTTCTACTCTTGGGAAGGGGCCTGAGGCATCAGGGGTCCTTTGTATTGTATTCCTCCAGGTTCCACCAAGGAGCTGCACCACTTTTTGGTGGGGAAAATACATTAAAAAAAAAAAAAAATCAAACTGGGAGCCAAGGGTACGACTTAGCAGTGTGGTGCCTGCCTGGCAAGTGCAAGATCCTGAATTCGATTCCTATGTTCAAAAAACAAAACAAAAAAACCAAACTGCTCTTATTTTTCAACAAGGATTTAACAAATTACAAATAGGAAAGGAGGGCTTTTATCATATGAATTAAACAATGTAACTGGAGAAAAAAGGGCAGAAGAGCACGCCCTCCCAAGCCAGCCCCAGAGAGCTCAGCGCAGTATGCCAGATCCAACCCATGATCCTGAAAACCAAGGGGAGCCTAAAGAACAGTCCCAGATTAGAAGGGACAAGCTGGGCAAAAGCAAAGTGGGGTGCTGGGAGGGGTGCTGCCATGGGAACTAGCAGGATCTGGGACCAACAGGAGTAGGTCAAGGTCAGCTTCATGGCGATCATGGTGATGGGGACATACCACTAGGGGAACGAGATGAGGCACACCAGACTAGCTATGTGTTGGTGCATGCCTATAATCCCAGCACTTGGGAGGCTGAGACAGGAGGACTTCCACAAGTTCGAGACCAGCATGGGCTACAAAGTGAATTTAAGACCAGCCTGAATTACAGAGCAAGACCCTATCTCAAAAAGAAAAAAAAAAAAAAAAAAAAAAGACTTGCTATCATCTTTGTAGCTTTTCCTTAAATATAAAACTATCCCCAAATCAGAAGCTTATTAGGAAAAGTTGCGATTTAATCTACTGAGCAAGTGGGGAGGGGAGTAAAAAAAGGGAGGGCAGAGGCAAGACTTCGGCCCTCATGAAGCAGCACATTATGTAACACTGAGAGCCAAGTCTGCCCATGGCTGCAAGTCCTTGGTGGGTTCTCAATTTAGACTGAATTCATCCAAATGGGAACACATTTTTACACAAAAGCCACCACTGCTAACAAAGTTAATGCTCCTAGATAGGGGTGAGCCCAGGCAATGACCCCAATCCTCTTATGTCAGCAACAATACTGGAATATGTCATCAGTAAATGAGCATCTTTCAAGTAGTTTTAAAATTCAGTGTTAATCCCGAAATGTATTTTTGCCATTTTATGAGGGAAGAAATGTTTAAATGGCCACATAAAAATACAAGCTTATCCTGGTTCATATCCATGCTTAATGAATGTAAAAAGAAATGATTAAACTAGATAAGATACATAATACTTTTTAAAATCGTTCTGCTTAAAGCTGAAGATGAACATAGTCTGACACTAGCAACCACCTTTAAGCCCCTGTGTAGATTCAACAACCTCGCTCCAGGAACGGGGGGGGGGGGACGGGGGGGACGGGACACCAGACCCGACGACGACGACACGACGACTATGGATGTGAGCACCAAGATGCTCCACCACACCTTGGGGCAGCAGTTTCCCCTGTCAAAAGTATCTACAATTTCTGTAGGACAAAGCACTGCACAGTCTCCACAAGAAGTGTTCCTGTACCCACAAAATGATCCCAAGACATACTCAGGACCCTCCCTGGAGAAAGGAGCCAGTGGATGGGGTGTGCTGAACCTCATACCTGCCCCTGCCTTGTGCCTGACCGCAGCTGAGGGCAGGGAGAGTTCATGAGAGAGGGCGAGAGACTGTAGGACTCTGGTCCTGGTGTTCCCTGAGGGTAGAGCCACTGGACTTCTGGGTGGATGAAGGAGAAAAGGTTGTCCCAGGCTTCCAGCCTGAACAACAAGAAGGAATGATTTGCCTATCTGTATGTCTGGGACAACCCAGGGGAAGGCTGCTGGACTCTTGAGTCTTGAGTTCAGGAAAGACACGAGAGGGGACAGCAACTGTCACTAGGGCATGAAGCTGTGGCACCATTGAGACCCTGGAGGATGAGGGAAAACCAGCAGGCAGTTTTGGCATGATGTTTGTCTTGGCTGAGCCAGCTGCTGCCCAGGGGCCAATGATTAGGACAGCTCACTGGGGTCTCTGAACATAAGACAAGCTGTTGCTGTTCCTCTCCACCACCTCTATAGCCAGCCACCCCCTTCCCTGCTCCTGGTGGGCCTCAAGCACCCACACAAACAACCTGCAGGGCTGAGGATAGAGCTCAGTGGCACGGTGCCTGCCTGGTAAGTACCTGCCTGGCAAGTACAAGGTCCTGAGTTCAATTCGCAGTACTTTCCCCTAACCCCCCCCAAAACAAACTGCACCCAGCTTCCTCATTTAGACAGTGCCCGAGTAAAGTTAGTACAGGGATCTGGCTGCAGAAATGGGCAAGAGTTCTGAGAAATGTGGACTGGGGTGGGGGTGGGGCAGGGCAGCAGCTCACCAGCTCAAGCCATTTCCCCCGGCTTGTGTGGCCATGGTGTGTCCCCAAAGATGCCCACAGGGAAATGTTGTGACTGGCAACCTAACCAAAGCTAGAGCGCTGTCACTGCACTTGAAGTGCCAGCCAATTTACACATAAAAAGGGCCGGGGAGATGGCTCAGTGGAATAAGTGCTTCCCTGGCAAACGCAAGGGCCTGAGTTCGATCCCCAGTTAACAAAAAAAGCTACTTGAAAAAAAAAGAAAAAGTACTTGGAAGACAGACTGAGGTGGGTTCAGTGGCAAGGGGCTAGAAGTCAGCAGGGCAGGCCTCCACATACAGCACACCCCAAAGAGAGTGCTGGGCTTGGAGGGAGTCACTGTAGCATGGCTGGCCCATCCTAGAACCAACCAGGGGGCAAATGAGATGCTTGACCACAGATCTCATAACTCTGCTTGTTAAAATGTCTGGGTAACCACTAACAGAAACACACCATAAATTTTCCAAATAAGTAGGGAATTTCTAGCAAAATGAATTCATGCGCACGTGTGAATTTAATCTTTAAAAACTTATGCTTTAAAAGATCCAAAAGGCATGGTGTGAAAAAGGAACAAGCAGGACAAATGAAAGTATAAAAGTGTGTGTGTGTGTGTGTGTGTGTGTGTGCGCGCACGCATGCAGGTTATGTGTAACTTTAAAAATAATACTAACATTCCAGTGAGACTTGAACTTCTTAGATTGGCTCTTTAGGAATGCCTGCTATACACTGTTGGTGATGAATCTATCTTAAATGTAACACTGAATAAAACCTAAAGTCAAAAAATGAAAGTTGAGTTCAGACAAATAAATGCTCCTTAAAGGGAAGAAGAAGGAGCAATACTGCCATCAGATAAGGAAAGGTGACAGACCAGTAAGGCCACCATTTCATGGCCACAATCTGACTTACAAGAAGACACAGTAATCACATATTTGCATATACAAGTAACAATGCCCCAGAATCCACGAATCAAACATTTGCTGGAACAGCAGTGAAACTGCTGCCTCAAGAGGCACAGGCCTGTCAGCCCTCTGGAAAGCAAGGCCCTGCCTGCTCAGGACCTCTCCAGCCACAGGACCAGTGAGCCTTAAAACCTCATCTCTAGCTTGTGTCCCCACAGAGAGATCAGACCTCCAGTCACTCACTATAGGAACCCATCAAGCGCTTTTCAATCATCTGTAGAAAAACAATATTAATCCAAAACATTGCCATTTTGAAAATTAAGGTGGACATAGTGCAGGGTGTGGCATCCTTTGGTGGCTATTCAGCAAAAACATCTTTAAGATAGAAGTACTACAACTCCCAGCATAAGAACCAACTGGTTCTGCTCACGCCTTCACAAGTGGGTGTGAGACACCTGTGGGTGGAGCCTCTTCCCAGCCCTGCCTCCTACCCCTAGAAGTCCCTAACTAAGGACAGAGGGCTCTCCTAGACCAGGTCAGAGTGCCCTATCCACCACTCCTTTGTGGTGGGAGGCAATGGTTAACCTCAGCTATCCAAGCAGCAGCCCTGGTTCCCAGTCTGGGGGACCCTGAGCTGTGGTCTAACACTGGTACTGGGAGCTGATAGGAAGTAGCTGCCTTGCAGGGTCCAGAAGTGACCAAATACACCTGCTCACAGGGTAAGTTCTTTCTGTTTGGAAGCTCAGTGCCCTGTCTATTGTTCTACTTCCCTGCTCCACAAACATAACCACAAGAGTAGAGGGGTAAACAGCAACCAGCCAAAAGACCTTTACAAAGTCAGTGAATCCAGGTGAGAGGCAGCAGTTCATTCTAGGTAAAACAGCTGATGTGAAAGGATCAAACTTAAGAGGGTGTGCCTCCCAGAAAGTAAAAAAAAAAAAAAAAAAAAAAAAAAGGGTGGGCCCCCCAAAAAAAAAAAAAAAAAAAAAAAAAAAAAAAAAAAAAAAAGTGTAGTACCCAGATAAAGCCCAAGAGACAGGTCCATACCTGGGTATGCAGCCCCAGTATACCCCTGCCTCTCCATCTTCAAATCCTTCTGCTTTCCACCTCATACTTCTGTTAGCTCTACAAGTTTCAAGCAGCCAGTCCAGGGAGCAAATGCATAGCACCTATGTGTGGTTTAAACCACAGGCCGGATGGTAACATACCTGTCAATGCCTGGCTCACCTGAACTGCCAAATGCAGCCATCTGCTCCTGTTACACATCTGCCAACATGACTGTTATCACACCTGCCCTAAATATTGAGGTCACTCTCACTGCTGAATGGCTAAGCCACATACTCCTTGACTATCCAGGAACTCAAGACCCCAGCTGCTGACACTTTCTTAAAGTGCAAACCTAGGGTCACTTCACTTACAGGGCACCAATGGTGAACTTAAAATACCTGTTCATCTGCCTTTGACATAAATACATGACTATGTGATCTCTGCAATACTGGACAAGCAGAAAGTCAAGACCATCCACCGAACTTGGCATCTCAGATTCCACAAGTCTGAACAGTATCTGACGCTCCCAATTACTCATCACAGCAAGTAACTTACCCAGCTCTGCACAGCAACAAATGCAAATTCAGTCCCACACTAGATGAGAGGCTGTTCCCAGACCCCTGGTGAGGAAGGGGCAGTTCTGCCTGCCCTATACCATCTGTTCTATAGAGGGTGCAAAGAGGGAGACGCAGGAGGTCCCATTTGTCCGCTCTGCCCACCAACCTTTGTGTGGTTCTCTGGAGTGGACCAAAGACAGAGACGAAAACCCCGAAGATTTGAGGCAGCCCTCTTTCCACTGATTCTAGTGAGCAGCCATACCAATAGTAAGTCAGGAGACGCACTTCAGAGTCCTCAAAACAGTACCTTTCTCAAGAATAAATAAATAAACAAATAGATAAAGCAAGCTATGCCACGGAATCTTCACTCATAGGAAAAACATGGTTGTCCTGACCCACTGAACCCTGGTCACTGTGTGCTCCTCAGGGACATTCAGCACTGGACTCCAGGAGGAGGTGGAAGCTCGCTGACGGCACACCCGGTACCGCCCAAGCAGTCCATCCCCACCCAGCCTCAGGGGGCCGCTACGACGTCTCTCACTCCGGGAGCCCTCAAGAGACCTTGTGCACCGGCTGTCCCGCGGGGCCAGACGGCATCACTATGGAAACCCAGACAGTCCCGAGGAGGAACTCCAGTGGGAAGGGTCCTACAAGCTCCTGACTTACTCTTGTTAGCACACGAGGAAACCAAGGCTTTGAACAGGGCGCTCCGCAGGCCCGGGCTGGTCCCACGGCCCTCGCTCTGCGCGGGAGAAAGGGGCCGTCCCGGGACTACCGAATGCACAGAGGGCCTCTCCTCCGCCCGGGGCCACGCAAGCTCCGGTCTCCTCCGCCCGGACGGCAGCGAGCGCCCAAGCTGCCCTCCGCCCGGGGCAGCGGCCCCTCCTCCGCGCAGAGCCGCCCGCCCGCCCAGCGCCGCAGGGAACCTCCCCGTCCCGCCCCTCATCCCGGGCCCTCCAGGGGGCCCGAGCGCGGGAGCTGCTCGGTCAGGCCCGCGCCGCCCGCCCCGCGCGACTCGCGCTCCAGTCCCGACTCAGGGGCGCCGGCACGAGCCACCCGCGCGGCTGAGGGAACGAGCCCGGCCGCAGGCCCGCGCGCCGCCACAGGTCGCCGCCCCGGCCCGGCCCCCTCACCGGGCCGCGCTGCGTGCTGACAGTGGTCGCCATCGCGTTGCGGGGCTCCCGCGCCTCCCCGACCCGACAGTGACGCGCCGCAAGAGCTCTTCCGCCCCCGCGGAGCCTGCACAACCGACGGCCGTCCCCGCTAATCTGCGGCCGTCTCAGTCAGCTGACAACCGCCGCACCCGCCCCAGCAGCCTTCTGCGCATGCGCTCTGCCCGCCCGCCCCCGCCCACCCCGCCCACCAGCCCGCTGCGCATGCGCTCTGCCCGCCCCCCCCGCCCCCGCCCCCCGCTCCCTCGCGCACGCGTGTTCCCTGCTTGGGGGCGTGGCCAGCCTTCTATTGGGCGCGTGCGCCGTCGATAACTCTGTCTTCGAACTGGGAGCCTGGAGAAACGGCTGGCCTGGCGGTCTGCGTACCCTCCTGTTCCCTAGACCGCAGGGGAGGCCAGACCTTGGGGCCTCAGAGGAGTCGGGCAGGGCCGATCACCTGGCCAGGGGTAGCAGCACGATCAACACCTGCCGATGTCTGACCGCTAGAGAACGGAGAGTCGCAGTAGTTGGAGGCTGAACACAGCAAAGGGCTGTGAAACCAACGATCATACTTAGGAGCTGAGCCAAGGGCGAGGCAGAACGGGGATTCTTCCTCGCGCTTGAGAAGCTGGAAGATGTCCCAAGGACTACGGCGACCTGTCCCCAGGTCTCCCGCGGGGGCTGAGCTCCTGCCTGCCGATTCTCGGTTCCCTCGTACCTGGACTTAACACTGGCTAGTATGGGTCCCTGCTTTAGTGAGAGTAGAAAGTAAAACGGGGACATTCTGCACGAGTTTACAGGAAAAAGCTTTAATTAGTAAGAGAAAGTGAAGGAGGAGGAGAATAGCGCTAACAAAAATCAAGGGTGGCCCCCTCAAAAAGCAAAGTAAAGGAGGAAGGGAATAGCGCTAACAAAAATGGGGGGGCACCTCAAAAAGCAAAGTGAAGGTAGGAAAAGAACTGAAGTCGGAATACCTGAGGGGGCAGAGGTCTGAAGAAGTGATTAGCACTGGCCTGCCTGCAAAGGAAGGGGCACCGATTTCGTAGGGCGCAGTGGTGGGCTGCAGCCCAGTGGACTGACCGTGTTTCGGGACTCCAGTGGAATGCTCATGGTTCGAGGGGCAGGTGAGTTCCTGGGAGGTGACCGTGTTTGAGAGGTGGCAGCTGTGGTTTCGGTCACGAGAGGACTGTTCCTGGTGGGGAGGTGATTTTAGCATGGGGTAGTCTGTGAAGCTTTGCTCTTCCAGGAAGGTGAGTACAGATGTCATAAAAGTTGGTAATTGAATGAGCCTACAAATCCTGAAAATTAATCGTGCTGATCATGCATCCTTTGCATGCCTAAAAGGGGGTTAAGATAGGTTAGGTACTTTTAGAGCTAATAACTTTGTGACACAGACACTCTCCGCAAGCTATTAACACAGCATATGTGTGGAGCCAAATCCAAAGTTTTAAGGAAATAAAGGAAACTTCAAATTAGATGCGAGCTTTATTTTGTATTTGCTTATTTTGGTTTTTGAGACAGGTTCTTGCTGTGTAGCCCAGGCTGGCCTCAAACTCATGACAAAGTTCCTACCTTAGCCTACCAAGTACTGGATTATCAACGTGTGCAACACCACATCCAGCTCATCCTGCTTTATTTTATTTTTCCCACTGGGCACCAGCAAATTCAACCCCTAGGTCCCTGTTCTATTGCTGTGGTGGCCATTCCTCCCAGGACAGCTCTGCACTGGTACTCGGGAAGACATCTAGGCCTCTTGTTTTCCCCTGGTCTCTAAAGTCCACATCTTCAGTCTCCATCAGTAATCTCTCCTTTGACACCAGAGCACCTCCGGATTCAGCCCCCACTCCTACATCTGTCTGTCCACATTCTCAGTTCCATTGCTTCCAGTTCCATCTCCTGTACATGGTGACAGTCCTAAAATCTGCTTCAGCCAGGACCATCTGAACACCTGAGGACTCAGCATGAACCTCAGTATTCTCCAGTGTAGTAGACGGATTTTAAGGTAGGTCCAGGATCTTACCTCCTGACGCCACATCCTTGTATAATTCTCTCCTTGTGTATGAACAGGACTTCCTTCTAAGGAAGAGAGAATGCGGTGGAAGTGGTTAGATACGACTCCTGTGATAACCTTGTGTTTTATGAAACTCCATCTTATCAGATCTGCCTTGCTGTTTCGAAGAGGCAAGATCCACACACCCTCTGACTTCAGGAAGTAATTCTGTGTGCCACCGGTTGGAGCCGGCATCCTTCCTCAGGCCAGCCCACAGAGGAGAGTGCAGCCCAGCGGGGGCCTGAGTCCCAGCTTTGTGAGACCCTGGGCAGCTGAGCCATGCCTGAGCTCCTGGCTCACAGACACTGTGTGCAAAGTGTGTGGCTTGTAGGCCACTACACTTACCCGAATTGGTACGTGACACAGAAGCCTCATATGCCCCCAGATGTCCGCATGGCTTGACTCGTTATCTTCAAGTTTGTTCAAGTCTCTCTTAGTGAGGTCTACCTTGAGCCTGTTGTTTAAAATCACTGTCTTCCCCAATGCTCTCTAGCACTTTCTACCTTGGTAACTTGTTCTATTTATTTTTCTTTTATTTGATAAACTCTAGCAGAAATATAACTTTCCATGTTTCTGCACTCATCAGCTTTTTGTTATTATAACAAGTAGCTAAGATAATCAACTAATAGAAAAGATTTATTTGGCTCCTAATTTGGAAGTTCCATTTCATGCTTGACTGGTCCTGTGTTTTTGGGCCTGCGGTGCATCTCTCAGCAGGGAGCAGAGTGAAGCCACCAGCTCAGGACAAGAGGAAGAGAGAAAGGAAGAGCCCCAGGCCCAGAGCACCCTTCAAGGACATTGTCACCCTCAGTGACACAGACACCTCTGAAAGTTTCTGCCACCTCTGAGGATCTCTAATTGGGGACCAGCCTTCAGCACTAAAACCTTTTGGAGATGTTTCAGAGCCACACTATGGCAGTTTCTTGTATTTTTTAAGTTTTTGTTTTCCGTGTGTGTGTGTGTGTGTGTGTGTGTGTGTGTGTGTACCTTGTTCACTGATGTCACCACAGCACCTGAACTGCAGCTAGTGGTAGGCTCTCATTTGTGTATTTCTTGAATGGAAGTAAGAAGGGCTTTTACTGGAAAGGCTACAAGGTCCCTTACCCTCAACATACTAGTGAATATTTTAGGATTCTAAATAGTAGAGGGATGTGATAGAACAGATACAAAAGAAAACACTGATGTAAAACACTTGAATACAAATCTATTTTGTTTAATAAACAATAAAATCATTTGTCTTTCAAAACAGGTCCCCGGGACTCCTGGTTTCTGTGTGGGAAGGTAGAACTGGGAGGATCTTGTCTGTCATCCTTAAAATAAGACAGGCTGATAGACTACAAGTTCTTGACAGTCCTTGAATTGACTGGGGTAAGGCCTAAGGGCAGTCAGTGACCCCCGAATGCACAGAGATAGGTGGGCTGCAAACTCTTGCTGGGTAGGATTCAGCTAGGGGAGTTAGGGAACTGAGGAGGTTGTGCAGGACCTAGTGAGGGGGGTGTGCAAGTGGGGCACCGATGCTGCAAGTCCTGCCCTCTTAGGAGATTTTTTTTCTGGGGGCTTGAGGTAGAAGTTCGTAGCAAACCCTGTCACTTTGAGAGGTTTAGGGAAGCACCTTGCAAGTGGGAGAAAGGAACAGGGGAAAAAAAAATTTAAACTGGCTGTAGTGGCACATGCCTATAACCCCAGCATGTGGGAGACTGAGGCAGGAGGATTGCCAGAAGACTAGCCAGGGTTACACAGTGAGTTCAGGAGCAGCCTGAATTATACAATGAGACCCTGTCTCAAAAAACAACAAAATAAAATAACAAAAAAAGATCAGCCTGGACTACACAGTGAGATGCTGTCTCAAAAAACAAAGACTTTAGTCACTTTCAGAAAGGGCAGAAATACTGAAATGCCTAAGAGGCAGGAATGTCATACCTGCCAGGACTGAGTTTGAGGATGGCAGAGAATTTTCCCCGGCCTTTTCTGCAGGGCTGGCAAGCACCGAGGACAGGTCACGCAGAGCCGTAATGCCACCCACACAGGCAGTTGGAGAGTATGGGTAATACGGGGGAAATACACTCCCAGCGTGCTGGCTGGCTGGTACAGAATCCATGCTCTAAAATCAAAGAAGGAATACAAGGACAAGGGAGGTTCAGAGGAGAAAGAACTGAGGGCTGGTGAGGTAGCTCAGTGGACTAAGGCATCTCCTTAGGTAAGCATCGGGATTGTGGTTTGATCCCTGGGCACCACATGCTACGAGCTGGCCAGAGACCCTACTGGTGCAGGCCTGTAATCCCAGTGCTGGGGAGGCTGAAAACAGGAGGATCACTATGAGTCCAAGCTGCATAGTGAGACCCTGTAACAACTAAATACATTTTTTTCCTAAAAAAAAAAAAAAGAAAAAAGAAAAAGAACTTCTTGAGAGAAAGAATGCTTCTTAAGAGAGATAGAAATGGGCACAGTGGGTGGCTGGGGCTCCTAGCTTCTCAAGGGAATTTTACAGAGCAAAATCTCAAAGTGAGGCATGTCTAAGGTGGGACAGAACTATAATCAACCAATAAGATTACAAGCATGGTCACTTGGGATGAAGTGTGGATCAAATGAGGAAGCAAGTCACACAGCAAGTGTTCAGGAGACAGACAAGGATATTCCCGGAAAGTGTGGGTTAAGGAGGTTTGGTCCTCCACCCAAGGTAATTGATGTCTATTTAGAGTCAGTCACTGGTTGGGCTGGGGATGTAGCTTAGTGGCACAAGTACCTGCGTGGCAAGCGCCAGGTCCTGAGTTTTATTCCTGTTATTAGAAAAAAAATAATCACTGCTGTGTACTGTACCCTAAGAAAAATATGTGGGTATAGCCACTGCCCTTTGTCCTGAGCCCTCACCTTCAATTGATGCTCCTCCAGCTACTGTTGGCTTCTGCATTGACCTCTCCAGAGCTTAGCCATCTGACTGCCTATGATAGCTTAGCTATCTGTATTCCCCACCCACTCACAGCATGGCAGGAAGACTCCTGAGACTAGCCACCCCTCACTCGATCCAAGGTGCCCTGGAGACTGCCCAACCTCTGGTGCATCGGGGCTGGTCACGACACAACAAACCTCACATCTA